CTGTCAGCCTCCCCACAGGCCTCAGCCACATGTCCCTCCCGAGAGCCTCCGCAGCCTCTCGCCCACAGGCTCCCTCCACGCCCCCAAGTCCCTGTGCAAGTCCGAGGCTGGCCGGTCCGCCCTTGCTGTCCACGCGGTGCTGCCCTCCGAGGCTGCTTCCATGTCATGTTGCTTCACCAGTCACTCAGCTCTGCCCCCTCGTTCCCAGTAACAAGCCAAGGTGACCGCATGTAAACGGGCCTCTCCCTCTTTCATGCAGGTGCCCCTGTTACAATTTCACTCTTGTACTGAAAATAAAGAAATAAAGCAAACGTGAAGGGAAAGATCACTTCAGGTGTTTCACTGGAAAACCACTGTCCTTCCTTCTCTCCCCTCTCCACACTCTTTCACGCTAAGAGCTGCTTTGTCTCTGTGTACACGATGACCCTTACAATGTGTGGGTTTGGGGGCCTCAGGGTGCGCTGATCAGAATCACACAGCCTTTATCTCTCTGTCTCTGCCAGAGCCAGACCACAGGTGCTTACAGTCTGAGATGTGTGCTCCCCAGGTCCCATTCTCTGCACCCTTCTTTCACCTGGGGGTGCGCAGGAATGGCGACCACATCACTGAGTGGCCGACAGCACTTCTCCCACTGCACCAGCCCCTTCTCTGTCCCTGGGTATCTGGCTGGGGTGCTCCAGGAGTCCTCCCCAGCCAACACCACACGCCGGTGGGAGGGAGTGGGCATTGCCACTAGAAGATGAATCGGTGGGGACAGTGTTCTTTAGGGTCTCTGATGACACATTCTAATGAATGTCCTGCATGGCGCTTGGGAGCTCTGGAGAGGGGTTTAGTTCCCACAGCAACTCCCAGCTCAACAGCGCTCCCTGGAGGTGACTTTCTGCTATTGCTTGTTTTGTTCTTTCTAGTGTTACTGACCTCTGCTGCCTGGAGTAGCTTCTGGAAGTCAGCTACTTGCATGCATGCATTCTCTTGTCTCAGACATCAAACACTTCCCCCGGGGAACCAAGGGAAGATATTTCTATTAGTGTTTGAAAACTCCTGCTCTGCTCTTTACATTTTTAAACTGAAATCTATTTTATTTTGCTATAGTTTAACTGGTTACAAAGAATGTAACTTATGTATGTTAGCATTTTTCAATAAAGTTTTTTACTACTTTATGGGAAATTTTTAAAATATCAAATTATATATACATATTATATACAGATAAGTATTAAAAATATACAAACGTGGGGGAAGTTGGTAAAATCCTATATATCACCCAACTTTAATAATGATCAAGTTATGTTCAACATTTTTCATTTGTATACCCACTCACCGGCCCTGCGTATCTCCCCCTCTGTATTGAAATGCATCTCCCAAGTCTTTGGACTTCCGTTTCTAATAGTCTAATAACCATTAGAATGGTTGTTATAAAAAGTCAAAAGTCAAAATGTTTTGACCAGGTTGTGGAGAAAAGAGAGCCTTGTTCACGACTGGCAGGAAAAGAGTGGAGGATTTTCAAAAAAATTAAAAATAGAAATGCCATCTTCCTCAGTGATCCCAATTCTAGTTGCAACCCCAAAGAAATGAAATCAGTATCTTGAAGTGATTTCTGCACTTATCACAGCGTTATTCACAATAGCAAGACATGAAATAACCTGTCATGGATAAAGTGTGCTATGTCATATTGTGTTGTTATATATTACATCCTATGTAGTAGGGATACATGACCTTACAATAAGGGGATTCTGAGTTCCATGAACCCCCATCTCTCACCCCCCCAAAAGATATGCACTTATGTCGCATCAGGCAACACTGCACTGTTGAAGCGGGAGGCATCGAGCAAACTGTTGTTGCAGGATGCTGCCAAGATGGCAAAAATCTGGCCTTTTCATTTAGCAAGGCATTGTACAGAGCCAATTACTCAGGGCAAAGGACAAAGAGAAAAAATGTAGGAGGAAGGGATGTTTGTTTAGGTTCTCTAGACTTTTGGGGAGAGGAGCCTGTGAATCCAAATTAGCGTTAGAGCCCAGTTTTATGGCCCAATGTTTGAAGATTGAAATCAAGCTTGTGACCCTCACTCCTGGTACCAATCTTGTTAACAAAGCATTCTGCTGAAGCCTCTCTGGAACGCAAAGTATATATCAGTCAACAGCTCCTCAGGCATCCCTGGCCAGGCCTTGGGACCTATATTCATTGCAGGGGATTAAGCATCCTGCTGTTCCCCTTAAGAGATGCCTCTGCAGGGTCCATAGTTAATTGATTGACTGGGCCAAATGGACTTTGTATGAGAAGGCTCAAATGTGTAGCCAGAACGGCAGCGTAAGCAGTCTTTAATTCCAGCAGACCTACACACTTACCATGACAGTGGTGACAGTGCAACACGGTAACCAGAGAGCAGGGCAAGTGGGAAGGACACAGACAAAAGGGAAAGCGGAAGCTGGAGGCTGGTGAGAGACTCATGGAAGTCCTTGTTTAAAGGATATAAAATCTCAGCAGTTTGACAATATTAAGGGAGTTCTGAAGACAGACTGTGATGCTGGCTATGAGTGTCCTTAGCAACACTGCACTGTATCACTGTATGATGATTGTTTTTTTTTTTAAGATTTATTTATTTATGCATACAGAACTCGGGTTCAGGCCAGAGGCGCAGGGGTGGTGAGAGGATTCACCAGAGACAGAGCGGGGAGCAGAACAGGTCAACTGTCGAAGTACACCACTGAAGGGAGCAGCGGGCAGGTCAGGAGAGGTCTGCCGCGCCATGTGGATCACCATGGGTAGGGATCGAACTCATGCTGAAGTGGCTTTAGCTTCTTAGTGCTGTGCTTTAACCCGCTGCGCCACCAGAGAGGGCCCTGATGATTAAGTTTTATGTTATGTGTTCTTTATCCCAATTCAAATAATACAAAATAAAGCACTATTGAAATATATTCCGAATAGAAATATCCACGAGTTCACATTGATAAAAGTAATTAAATAACTAACCAAGTAAATATAGGGAAGAAATGAATTTCCTGTACAAAAACTCCACAAATAGTATGTTGTTGCCCTCATTGATGGGACACTACAGCTTCTTAACTTTTATATGAATCAAAAACTGCCTTAAAAATAAAGTCTATTAAAATATCAAGATTTAAGACTTCAAAAAGTGTGTACAGATTACGAGTGCTTCTGGGAACTCCTCCGTCTCTGCCCAGTCACCCCACCCACCCAATCCTATGCAGACATTCTTTTAACTAGGATGACTTGAGTCTGTGTCTCATCCACTAAATGATGAGAGCTACTGGAAAGTGGTAGCCCCAGGAGGGCTGTGGTTATGCCAGGGTTTTACATGGGACATCCTGTCTTCTGTGTGATGGGTAGATCTGGAGGTTGTGAAAGACAGGGAGCAAGAGCAAGAGAGACTGGCTTAAGGCCATTGCAATAGGGCCCTCCCTAGAGGCGCAACAGGTTAGGACGCAGCACTGCAAGCTGGCCGCAGCCACTTGACCCCCTGCCCCGGAGGAGATCCACTTGGCGCGGCAGACCTATCCTGACCAGCCGGCTGCTCCCCTCAGCAGTGTACTTTGTCTATCTGCCTGTTCTGCTCCCCACTATGTCTCTGGTGAAACCTCTCACCGCCCCGCACCTCTGGCCTGTACCCCAGTTCTATATGCGGAAATAAATAAATCTTAAAAAAAAAAAAAGCCATTACAATAGGCCAGATGTGAAATGCCCTCAGTCCAAATTTGGGAGCAGTTGTAGGGACAGTAAGGACTTGGCCATCAGTGGGGAGGCGGACGAGGAGTGAAGAGTGAGGACCAAGTCTCTAGCTTGGATGATCACACTGAGGGTGGTTTCCTCACCCGAGAGAGAACATGCCCATGGAGCAGACAGTGGCCCTGGGGTGAGGTGCGGCATGGAGGATGTGAAGTGCCATTCACACTCACTGAGTGAAGAGCTTCCAGTAGTGTTCGTGGGTCTGTCCTGACACATCCTGTAACTGAGGTAAGAGAGTTTTGAATAGATTCGGACAACCTGCCTGAGATAATGTGGTTATGTAATTAAAGCCAGGTGATTCTCACGGGGGAGTCCCCTGGAAGGAGACCCCAAGTTCTGATGTGATGGGTGGCAGAAAAGTCTCCAGCGATGCGTTGGGTCTATAGTTTTCTCCCCAGTCAGCATTGTTGGCTTTCCTGACACCAGCTGGCCCAGCCTTTGGGGGCTCTGCCATTTCCTCCAGTGGTAACCAGTCTGGAAGTCTCCCTTCTCCCCACCTTGCCCAAACTCTACTTCTCCTGCTCTTCCACAGTCTCCCTTGCCTTCCTTGATGGCAGTCTGTTAGACTCTTGGAGACCGTGAGAACATCCTACAGAGAGGAAACCCTGGAAGGGACCTGAGCCCAGGGGACACCCTCCCTTCTGGTGCCCTTGGCTGTGGGCTAGGATTGGGCATGGTGTCTATGGTTCAGGGCAGTGCTGGGCCTCGGCAGATAGACCTCTTGCCTCCCAACCCTTCTTACCGCTGGCAAGCTGTGCCTTAGGTACATGCGGGAAGTGTTTGTTTTATTTAGTCTCCTCTTTAGAAGCTGCTGAACGTGTTGGCTTTAAGAACAGAATCAAAGAGGGACTCTGGTCTGTTGGGAACTGGCCAAGAGACCCAGGTGTGGCCATCAACCCACACACTGGTTTGTGTATGATGAGAGACAAAGGAGAAAAAGCCAACGACGATGCAAGATCCCGGCAACTCCAGCATTTATTTTGTATTATAGCACACAGGTGCAGTTGTAACATGGGGGGTGGTCAAGCCCTAGGCATGTCTCCCCTCAGGCAGAGGTTCGAGTTGCCTGAGCCTGGTTGGTATCATCAGGGGTGGGTGCTAGGCAATCACTTCCCTCCCCACTAGAAGCAAACAGGGGTGCAGACAGGTGGGTTCACAGATGAGATGGGCCGCCCAGGCTGGGGACCTGAGGTAAGGGAGGTCACTGGCTCTCTCTTCACTTATGTGGGGTGGCCTGAGGGCCTCTGGGGTGGGGGTGGTTACTTATGTTTAAGGGGCCACTGCACCTCCTGCTTCTGCTGTTGTTGCTCTACAGGGAGCAAGACTGCTCCCTTCTGTGGCTGGACTATTTGTGTCTCCTGGACATGGCCGGGAACGAGGACATATTCAGGCTGCTCAGCTTGTCCTTCCCGCTGCTCTGCTGACTCCAGTTGTGTTCCCTGCTCCTCCACATGGCCCAGCAGCTGCTCTCCTCTGTTTGCTAGCTCTTGATCCAGTTTCTGGCCCAGAAGCTTCTTCTCCTCTTCCAGCTGCTCCTTTAATTCCTGTTCCCTTTGAGCTGCCTCCTGCTCCAGCTGCTGCTCCAGGCTTTCTGCTTCCTGATGTTTCTCCACATGGCCCAGCAGCTGCTCTCCTTTGTTTGCTAGCTCTTGACCCAGTTTCTGGTCCAGAAGCTTCTTCTCCTCTTCCAGCTGCTCCTTTAATTCCTGTTCCCTTTGAGCTGTCCCCTGCTCCAGCTGCTGCTCCAGGCTTTCTGCTTCCTGATGTTTCTCTAGCTGCTCTCCTCTGTTTGCTAGCTCTTGACCCAGTTTCTGGTCCAGAAGCTTCTTCTCCTCTTCCAGCTGCTCCTTTGGTTCCTGTTCCCTTTGAGCTGTCTCCTGCTCCAGTTGCTGCTCCAGGCTTTCTGCTTCCTGATGTTCCTTGTGCTTCTCTTGCTGCTTTTCTTCCTGCTCCTGGAGTTCCTGCGGATCGAAGTGCTGTTCCTGCTCCTGTGCCTCTTGCTGCTGTGGATCCAGATGTTGTTCTGGTTGGTGCAGATGCAGCCCCTGCCCCTGAGGTTCCTGGGTCTGTGGTTCACACTCGCACTCGGGTGTCCCCTTCACAGGAGTGGCGTGTTTCTCCACATGCTGCAGAGGAAGTTCCTTTGGGAGCTCCGAGGTCACCTTCTGGCATGGGGCAGGCAGTGGAGTCAGCTGCTTTACTTGCTCCTGCTGGGAGTCAGTGGGAGGGCAAATGGGCTCCAGAGGCTCCTGACTGACGCCAGGGGGTAGGGCCACTGACAGAGTCTGTTGCTCAGACATCTTAGAAGCTGCCTTAGGTCAATCTGAAAAACAGGAAGGTCAGAGGGGTGAAGAGAGGAAGGAATCCCTGGGAACCCACAGCAGAGCCTGATTCTCAGCAGCCCCTCTCTTCCTTTGGGTGGGGCACTCTCCATTCTCTGCATGAGGCCATAGCCCAGTAGCAGCAGACAATGAAGAGCAGGAGAAGCAGGAAGAGGCTCTCCTGAGAGCCTCCTTTCTCAAAAGCTCCAGCAAAGAGGTCGGTCTCCTGCGCCTCTCTGCAATGGGGTGCTCCCACTTCCCCTCCTTTTCTTTCTTATGGGTTCCTGGTCTCCATCTTCCTTTCTGACTCCCATTGGTCAAGGAGGAATGATGAGTTCTGGAGTTCTGACAGCAAGAGGGGAGGCCCTTGAGAAAGAAAGGTCTCTTGGGTCCTGGGGAAATGTGGCCTTTGATGGCAGAGCCTCGGAGGAAGTCACGCCATGCATGTTGGCTTTAACTCTTTAACTCCCCTGAAGCACTGTGTCTGGACACTTAGCTTCCCTGGGCTCCAGATGTCTCCTCTGAGCAAAGTAGCCCATTTACCTCCCAATCTCTCACGTGTCAGCTTCCAGAGGGGTTTGGAGGAGCTGGAAAGTTGCTGACAGTTGGAGCTGGTCCTTTCTAGTTTCTTATTTCTAAAGTAGGTCTCCCTGCCTGCTCTCTCTGGGATTTTCCAAGTAAAAACTTCCCCCTATTTTGTTACTATTCCCCCTTATTGCAACACGGCCAACAGTTACAAGCGTTTCCCCAAATACCCTGTCCCCATAAAGAAAGCAAAATCTTTTGGGAAAAGTTTTGGGAAAGAAAGAAATTAATTCCTCTTCTTTTTTCTCCTTTCTTTTTCTTCCCCAAAGTATGGTCCCAAGTACAGGTGGGATAAGAGGGGACAGCTGTCTGTCCCATGTCCAGATGAGACCCTGGTCACAGTGACCTGATGTGGTCCAGATAGGCAGTCTGGTTGAGCCCAGGCCATGAGTGATGGTGTCCTGGCCTGAGCTGGCCCCACCATCACACTGGCCATCAGCCCTGATGGCTCCCAGGCCCAACCCTGCTTCCCCAGCTGACTCTTACTTACCAGACTTTCAGGAGGGACGGCTGGAGAGGCTGCTAGTGGATTGCTGAGCTGAGCAGGGGCTGGGGCACCCTTTATACCGCTCTCCAGTGTTGCCTCCTGCCTAACTTCAAGGAGATGGACTGGTTTCACCACTCGAGTTGGTCAACTTCCTCCAACCCCATCCTGACTCATCACAGACACCTTAAGCACAAAACCCCGCAGGGCCCCTTTTCACAGAGATACACAGCTCCCGCCTGGCCAGAGGGCTCTGGCGCCTGGTCACTCCTGTGATGTTCATCTGACCTGACACGGGGAGGTGAGGGGGACAGCTCAGGAACCCAGTCCTCTTTTCCTATTGCTTTGTGACTTCAGCCAGGCTTCTCTGCTTTCCAACTTCACCTGTAAAATGAGGTTATTCCCACTACTGGGCTGACAGATTCATTTCCAAGGGCAAAGGATGGAAAGTTGTGTCTCTGGGATGTCACTTCTCAGGAAAGGAGGGATTTGCTGGGGTCCTCGTGGCTACTTGTCTACCCACTCTCAGGACACATCTATAACTCCTGACTGTGTGGAAATAAACACAGTCCACAAAGGGAAAGGGTTCAACTTTTGGCCAGAAGGATCAGGTAGAAAGCCTCTATGGGTCTCCTGCTTTGTGCCAGGGACTGCCCAGACCCATGTCCAGGGCTATAGTCAGAAATCCCCAAGAATGCCATGGTTCAAAGCATGGGGTTGCTAAGGCAAGAAAAAAGGCATTAACTATACAATAAACTATGTGTGCATAGATCGCTGATGATGTTAAGATAGTTTCAATCATTTTCTTTTTGGAACTGGGGGGAGGTACAAAGTCAAAACCAAATCTTCCATTGCCACCTCTGAATTCTTCTTTTAGAGTAGGGATTGACTCTTGCCCCTCTCCAGTGCCAACGGGGGAGACCATGGGCCCTGGAATAAAGCTCAGGCTGTGGTTTCAAAGACTCTGACGGAGGACCCTTAGTTCCTAGGGCAAGTCTAGGGCTCCCCGGCTCCAGGCCTGGGGCCTGCTCTCCCTCCCGCAACTCCCACTCTCCTGCCTCTTGCAGGCTCTTTCCAGGTCTGGTTGGTTGCTCTCAGCCTTCAGCGTCAGCATGGATGTTGGGGTCTTCCTGAAAGCTTGCCTCTGCCACCGAGTGTGTCACGCTATGTTTTGCTCCCTCTCACTAATAACAATCAAGACCACCCCCCCCACCACTATTTTCTACATTTGTTCACTTGTCTATTTCCTACCTCTCCTGGTGGGAAACAAGCCCCAGAAGGCAAGGCTTGCCTACCATATTTCTGCCATGCCCCAGAGCCTCACACAGATGCTACACTCATCATGGGCCAGTTGAAGGAGTTAGCTGAAAGAATGAATGAACAGCGACTCTCATCACTGCTACTGAATATTTTTGTGTTACTGTGTGTCCTTGTGTGCACCTGTATACATATAAACAAATAAAAATGTGACTTGTTTGTCTGTAAGAATTGGTTAATAACAGCTTATCTCATGACCAGCATTTATTAAACTTTCTTCTTTATAACCTAATCAGAAGAGAACTATTAGAACAACATGAAGAGAAGTAATACTTTTGGTGGTTTCTTCTGAGAAGTGTCCTGATTCTCCAAGGTTTTCCCAACAGGCACCTCCCTCCAGAGAACTCCTGATGCCCCCACTATTTGCCATGCTAATTTTGCTCTGTTCCTGGGACCAGGTCTGGAAAGATAGATGGAGGGACTCCTGCCTCTAGAATGCTACCCTCCTCCATAGCTTCCAGAGCTTCCAGGGACCTCACACTTAGCTTGGGGCTGTACCATTTTCTGGGGGTAGGGAAAACCCTCTACACCCATGCACTTCTCTCCCCCACCCCATGGAGAGAACCAAAAAGCATCTTCACCAGGGTAGCCGTGGCCTTGAACTCTGCTGCTGACCTCATATGGCAGGAATCTGCCTCTCCCCAGCCCATGACAGTCTGTCCCAGGGCAGCAGACCCTGCTGGAGGAAGTTACACCGGTCTTATGGGTTTTCAGAGCCCCGTATCTGTCAGATCTGCCTCCCACCCTCTGATTCACAGGATAATGAGAGCTTTGCTGGAAAGACAGTGTGTGTGAGTCTCTAGCCACTGGGCAAAGTTAGGGTGTGGGGAGGTGGGTGGAGCGTGGAGCTGAGAGAAGTGTGTTTGCAGGGAAAGGCAGGAGGTTCCAGCCTGAAGAGATTTCAAGGCTTCACACTTTGCTGTCAGATTGTCTTTCTCGGGGACAGACCTGCGTGTATGTGAAAAGACTCCCTCCGTTGCTCTGATTGACTTCACAGGCCACATGTGGGTTCTCGTGAAGCCCGGGTAACTGTCCAGCCCCCGCCCAGTGTGATGAGGATGAGCTCATATCCCGTGATGCACCCAGAGGCCTTGACCCCAGGTCTTCTCCAGCCCAAGGAGGCCACGGCTTTTTCTCTTGCAGAAGCAGAGACTGGATGGTTTCTTTTTCTGAGTGAAGCAATCCATTTGAATTGTTGCTTGGCTTGGTGGGGAGGGGTGGCGGCAGTGGATATTGGCCTCAACATTTCACTGCCCTGGGGGGAGGGGTGCAAAGGACAGTTCTCAGTAAGCTGGCAGTGTGAGTGATGCAGGTGGTCCTGGATAGGTACTTGGGCCAGGGGTCCTCACTTTCCCAGGCTGGGAGCTGTGTCCGGCCGATTCCTGATGAGGCAGCCTCCCCACTCAGCCTGCTACCTCCTCTCTGTCCTCGAAGTCTTCCTCCTCTGCCCAGGCACTGCGGCCGACATCACCCTCACCCTGAGACTGCACTTGTCACCCACCCACACACCCCAAGTCCTCACTGTCTTCCTCCATGGCATCCTGAACTTGAACTCTGCCTCTTGTTCGGTTTTGTCCCTGGTGTCCTGTCTGCTGCTCTGGGAGGGAACAGGCAAGGGTGGAGATGAGGTGGGCAAGGTCCAGGAGACTGACTCTTCTCTGGGGGCTGGTCTGGTCTTTCTGTTTGCCTCCTGTGCCCCCCAGCTGGCCTGCGGCTGCAGGTTCTCAGCCCCCAGGGCTGGTGCTTCTCTTGAGTGTGAGGCTGTGGTGGGATTGTGGTGGCTCTGCTCTTTGTGCAGTGGGAGAAGCCAGCTGTAAAAAGCCGCCAGCGACGGCAGCAAGGAGACAATCTGTGCCTGTGCTTCTTAGCTGGCGGGTGCCTTCTCTTTGGGCTTGCCGTCTAAGAAGTTCTTTGAAGCTGGTTCTCTCGCTCCATGCCTGGTGGTGAGGGCCAGTGGGCTCAGTCCTTTCTGTGACAGGTGGCCATGATCTGGTGGAATACGAGCAGCCTGGGGCAGAGAGTGGGCCCGCGACAGAGTCAGGCCGGGCCCACGTATCCTGATCTCTATCGGGGGTCTCTTCCTTGCCAAGCTAGGTGACGGTTGTCCTAGACATCTGTCAACTCGGAGTCAACTGACAAACTCAATATGGTCAGTTCTGCACTTTCTGGAGAAGGTCAATCTTTTCTAGCTTAGATTAAGCCAAAATGTCCTTGGGGTGACTCTCACGGGTCTGTTTTCTGACTGGTGCCAGGGTTCAGCTTGCTCCAGCCGGGAGGAGCGTTATATTGTATGATGAGCGCCAGCTGTGGGGTCAGACGGGCCTGGATTCGAATCCCACTGCACATTTTCTGATCTGAAGGAGTCTCCTTGGTTGTATGACCCTCAGTTTCTTTGTCTATAAATGGAGATACTAATCCCTCTGGATTTATGTGAGGATTCGGTGAGTAATGTCTGTAGTTAGCACACAGAGTGTACTCAGGAAATTGATGGTTTGCTGCTGGGGATCATGACCCACGTTCCTGATGCAATGTGGCAACCTGCCTGCCTCGTAGAGTTTTGAAGATGCAAGTTATTCAAAGGTCATCAGCTTTA